TTCCTAGTTTTTTATAATATACTGCTGGAGAGCCTGGAACTATTGCCATAAAAAGAAAAAAAAAGAGCTCTAAATTTTGGGGCTTTGTGTGTGTTATAAGAAGGACAGTCAAATTCCACTATCTGATTATGAGTAGCCCAAAAGTTTGCAGGTACTGCTGACTAGTTGCCTTCCCTCTAGCCTATGAGCAAAGTTAGGGATTGCTAGGGCAGTTAGCCTTTGTGTAGCTTTGCATAGATTTCTAAAACAATCAAACAAACATTTGCATGTGTAAAAATAAGAGGAATCATTTTATAAAGGCATGACTAATATATTTAGATCTGAATCTTAAAAAAAATGTCATCTAAGTTATTTTATTCAGTTTAGTTTTTTGTGCTGTTGTAAAATATTAATTTCTTTTAGATGCATTTAGAAATTAGTTTTGTGTTCACAGTTTTGATTAATAAAGAAGCAAAATAAGAAATTCGTGTAGTAAGTAGATAGCATCATTGTCTTGAAATAGAATGTAGTAGCTATTATTTTAACTTATCATTTAAAATGTCAAAAGAAAAAATGGCAGAGAAGTACCCGTTCTCGCCTGGCTTGGTAATCTTTAATATGCTTAAAGCTTTCTCTTTCAGTTAGAAAGCTTATCTTATCTGTCATTGCATTGTATTAAAAAAAGTGTGATGTTTTGCATAAAGTTAGGAAAATTGTCTTTTTCATGATCTGAATACTAATCAGATTAATCCTACCTACATGGGACTTCTTATGGTCAAGGGTCATGTCATCATGTTTGTAGACTCACATTCAAAATTTTATTGAACTACTGTTTTACGAATGCATGTCAGTAAGTTTTGTATCAAATTGTAGAGTATAATTCAAATTTTAGTATTATACATTAGTTAATTTCTTAATTTAAAACTCATTATAAAAACAAAATCCTAAATATCGATTTTTGTGTGTCACGTGGTATGTTGAATACAGCATTGGTTCAGATTAGATGTTTGTGATGTCCAAATACAAAGCCTATAGTTTCATACAAATTAGATACTCAAATTACCAATATTGACAAGCTAGAATATAAGATAAAAACCGCCTATCTTTGCTATTTTCTGAGATATTAATATATTTATTGAATCAACCAAGGTGGCCCAGCCCACCTCTTCCTTTTTTGAAAATAGTTGCTTATGTACACCTCCTTTGCCCAGTGACATGTGTATAACCAATCAAAAGCTCAGAATGCCTCCCTAGTTGTTTTCTCAGCGTCTGCAAAGTATTTACACGGGAAAATCTTTCTTTTCATGCTAGATTCCAAGCAGTAAGGTAAGACATTAGTGAGCTCAAAAAATCATATATTTTTTAGACCCAAATACAGTTTAGTTATTAAGCTTCATAAATTATAATGGAATTCTATTGTATTGATATAGTAATTTAAATTTTTTTATTTCAAAATGTATATATAAAACCTAAAAGAAAACCATTTCGTGTCATATGCTCCATGTGCAAAACTTGAGAAGGCTTAGCAACTTACAGCAAGCAGCAAATGCGTACAAAGTTCGTAACTAGAAGAGATAGCTGTTTACTACACATTTTTATATACTGTTCTATGTTTTAAGAAAAATGACTGACATTTAAGAATTTATTTGTAAATAGTAATAACGTATGTTTGTGTGTGTGTGTGTGTATGTAAATATATATATATATATATAATGTATAATAACTGAAGTGTGACTGTATTTTACAAAATACTGGCCCACTAGAACACAGCCAAGACAAATCATTTTGTAAAGGCCAGTTTTATATTCTTGGATACTCTTGCAACTCTGAAAGGTCAATAAAATAAAAATTATATATTTAGATGTATAATGTTACGAGATTTAAGCTATTTAGACTAAACATTTGTTTTTGTGTTATAATTTATAACAAATATAATTTATATAAATTTATAATTTATAAAAAAGCATAATTTATATCTATTTTCAAATTTTTTATGGTAGTTACAAAATCCAACCCAACTGTAAAGAGATACAGTAGTAAAAATAACAGATAAAATATAATTTTTTTCC